TGTCCTCTCTCTGTCCAGCCATCCTGCTGGAAAGGAATTTCCCCATGCCCATTCATCAGCTACCTCTCAGAGAAAAGGATGCAAATGAGAACAACATCAACTTGCTGCTGCCTTCCCAAAGGAAACCAGCCATTAGTGAACAAGCATGGTTCTTGGATCCTCAAAGTACAATAAACATTCCCTTTACTTTCACTTTCCTCCTGAAATAAATTCATAACCAAAATCATCAGTACCCAACAGCAGCTGCCTGGTTCATAAACAACTGTGAATACAGAATCCTTCCTCTTCTTTTCCTGTTCCCAAATATCAGTGGCAAAGGGAAAAGTAGGGTAAGAACCTTGAGAGAGTAGGTAAGAGGATACTGTCAGATATGCTCCTGCCAGCCAAGAACTTGATTAGCATCCTCAGTCAAGAAGTGCCAAAGGGTACCAAAACACTGAGTATAAAACCAAACTTCTAATTAAAAGTACAAAAAATAACATCCCACATGGTGGTTTGGTTTACAAAGATATCACCTCTGTCCTAAGAGTCATGAGGCACTGTAACTTGTCCCCTGAGTATTCCCCAATTAAGGATCCAGGATCTGTAAATATTTTTTTCATTTATATTTCTTGTTTTACATTTTGTACAGCTCTTGGGTTTACTACCTCAGTAAGACCTGTTCACTCCTGTGCTGAGAATGCCTTAATGCTCTGTAAATCACAGGCAACACACTTGTTTACTTGGTGTAAAAGAAGGAAAGTTGCTTTAGCAGAACAAAAACAAAAAAGAAAAGCTAGCAAGAAGCTGGCTAGCTGTAAGTGCAGACATTTATCAGTTATTAGTCATTAGTCGAAACTGATAATGATGGGAAGTCAAGCATAGTGCATCTCGTCATTGTTTTCAATGATGATAAAGTGCTGCCTGCTGCCAAACAGCGCCCCAAAATGGAGAAGGATTCTTTAACTTGCTTCAGATGAGCAACTGGGTGCCTGCCAATTTTTTACATGAACAGTCATAAGCATGTTCCTGCACAGCAGGATGTGGTCAAACTATTCAAAGCTGTAAAACCAGGTTTGCTTGCCAGTTATGCTATTGCTTCAAGATCAGTGTACTAGAGGTGATACTTTGCCAGCCATGAAACCACTGCTATTCCTTAACAGCAAATTGTATATATCTTTAATATTTAAAACTCTGTATAGAACTGACGGTTACCAATTAAAAAACTCCCACATGTACAGAATTAGTTAGGACTGGAAACATATCAAACACACAATCTCCTAATCTCTTAATGAGCTTTAAAAAATCACTTCCTTCAAGCTGTACCAATTAAAAGGTCCCCTTTCTTGCCTAAACCAGAGGAAAAGTAATTGTAATGACTTACTCAAGTCTTCAGCTGCCAACCCTGTAATGATATTAACATTCCTGTCCACAAGGTGTGATGTGGCTAATAGGTCACTGAGACACTGTACTGCATTGCCTCCTGCTGGAAACCACTTCTTTAGAGTATTTTATGAGGATCACACAATGTGACTATGCCATATGGAATCTCTGCTAAGTGTCTGTCACTAACTGGATTACTCAAGCAAGAGAGATTTCTCAAGAAAGGCAAAACTGTATTATGATCAACTGGACAAATAATTTTTTTCCTTGAATGGGTTAAGACAAAACCAAAAGTTACAGACAACAAAATGATGTTTTATTTCTTTCAGAGAATCAGTCATAAAACACACTGAAGATCCTCAGTATCACACAATATCTGTTCACTAACAAACATATCTTAGCAAATACAACCAAACTGTTGAGTTTGTTTTTTTAAGGGGGTTGATACAGGGGAAGATGGATGTCAATGTTTAGCCATGCTTTAGTTGTTTGTTTATTATTCACTTGAAAATACATACTAAAAGTAGTATCAAATATTTGAGTTTATACCATTTCATTTGTTTTCACACATACAAAAAGTAGTTTGCATATTTGCTCAGCAATCTAGTGAAAGATCTGAGATTACATCCACTTGCACAGCTCAATACACTGACAGAAGTGCTGCAATCTGCTTCCTAGTAAGAAGCAATGCTCACGCTGGAAATCTCAAAAAATACACTTGGATGTTACAGCTAGAAAAAACATTTTTATGGCTTTTCCAAGACACAGACAGTGCTCTTCCTTTTTTGAAGAATAGAAGAATTATTCAAGTAAAATCCAAACAGAAGAATCACAACTAGCTAATCATTGAGTATGCTGCAACTGCAGTCCAATTAAATGCAGCTCAGTAGTATAGCTACCAAAAAAAGCACGATGAAACTGAATTTAAAAGACTAGTTGGAAGTAATCTGTATTTACCTGGTCATAGGAAATGCATAGTTTATCAAATGTCCATTCTCTATCAATATACTTTATTCCTCCTTGAAATCAAAGCAATGTGTTTGAGCTGTGAAGGTTTTCACATTATTGTTTCTTACTCAGAAAAATCAGAAGTCCTGTGAGTTAACCCCAAAAGCTAGACACTACTTACATTCGCTGTGCTCAATTGCCAAATGCCAGGCTATTGTGAAGAAAATCACAGCGAAAAGCAAGAGATGCAACTTCACCAAATACAGTCAGTCCAGAGTCTTGTTATTGTGCAGGTAGTTCTCTATCATGTGGAACCAGCTATGGTGGTCACTCAAATGATGTTGCTGTCTCCAGCACCACACAACAGCAACCAGGAACAAAGCAACACCATGTGTCATGACACATTCAGCCTCCATTGCCCAGTGACCTCTGAACTTTACAAATGCATTTTCCAGAGGACAGACACAGCATGCTAATGGTTTACTCTATTTCTGCTTCTTCTCAACCTGCTCTCAATTTCCCCCTTCATATTTGATGTCACTTCTACAAAAGGAAAAGATTTAAACTTGCATTGTTATGAATGCCTGAGGCAACCCCAGATCTAACTTCCAATAATTTGCATTTGCTATGCTAAGCATATACATCCCCTGAATTATATCTAGTCCCTTTGTGGTCTAATGTAGAATCCCTCTCCTATTGTTCTTGCTGTTAGCACTGTAATAACTACTGCTATTGCAATGTTAACAAAAGACTACTAATAATTCAAGTATGGTACGAATTCCCAAGGAATCATCAAGTGAGAAACACAGGTTGAAAAGGTAGCTTCAATTCCAAGGATCTATTTTCTAGATTCAACAGTAACAGCTGTAAAAGCATCACATATTTGAAAACACATGATGGATAGTTTTATTAATAACAATTAATTTAAAACAATGGTGCTATAAATGGCTAGTGCTATCACAGTACTACAGCTTAATACCAAATATTTACATCTTTATTTTGTGAGGATTTATTATTCTAATAATTCATTTTTTCAGCTGCAGTATCTATTTAACATTACCTGTTCTTTTTGCTGATATGGCTAAAGATGGCTTTGCTAGTGGTGACATTTGAGCCATTACTATCCAAAATCATTATCTTTATTAATTTTCAGGCTGATTACCTGGAAAATATTACTCTTTAAACAGGCAGCTTAAAATCAATTAAATTAAAATGTGTATTAAAATGCCCAACAATTAAATCCTTCTGACATTCACAGAAGTTTCATGGCTCATATATGCCTGAAAGTCCACTTCAACAAAGAACCAAAAATGAAATAATGAAAACAAAAATATCAAGAGATCCTTCTCTTTTGCTGAAAGCTTTCCTGTTACAAGATGCTCACTTTTGAAATGCCCTGTGCAAGAAGAAAGAACATAAACTTTTGGAAGGGCTGTTGGATGATTCCCAGTAGCTATGCTGGGAAACATTCCAGCAATATTATTATAAAAGTTAAAAAATAAGACTCAGAAAGTAAAATACCACGAATAATACCTTAAGATTTTTTGCAATACATACTCTTGACAGACACACAAAATATTTTAAGCACCAGGCAGATGGGGCTTTCAGGGTTAAAGTAGGAGAGAATGAACAAAATGATTGAAAAAAGCATGAAAATTACAGTGTTTGTAGAGGGAGCACTTTTATCAGAGGACTTCTTAATAGAACATAAGTTCAATTAACATTATTGATATCATTAAAGATCACAAACCTGACTTTAAATCTAGTAGAAGTTACTTACATGTGGGCCAACTTTGGTTACTTACATTAAAAATCAAAATTTTCAATACTGGAAGTCAGATGAAATTTGTTGCCTGGCATAAGGAGCTTCATCCAGGATCTTTTCTCAGGAGATATATTCCCTACTTGGACTGTTCCTCCCTACAACTTACTTCTATTGACTTAAAAATCCATTAAAAAATGGTGGGTAAAAAACCTAAACTCAAACCAAAGAAACAACAGAAAAACTCTTCCATGAGATGAGAAATGCAAGGAAATTCTCTTTATGATGAAGAGAATTAAGGCAATTACTGTTCTGTCAAAATAGGAAATTGCAGGCAATGAGTGATTTCAGCAGAAAAAAGAATCCAGATTCTTTCAAGTCACTAGTAGATGGGTAAGGCTTTGAGAGTCAAGGACCTCATGCTGATTTTTATCTCCTGCGTGTCAAGCAACAAAGGGAAGAATTGCTTGCATTGTTGCATGTGGTGCTGTTACCTTCCTTTAATGTATATTTTTGCTACTTATAACCCTTTATAAATCCTTCTGTCCCAGTTACCTGTCATCCAACGCATTTCACCAATACAGCATAGTGCAAAACTAAGCCCTTAATAGCTTTTTAGATAGGTCAACTCACTGAAAACTATTTTGTTTTAGAAAGAAGACAGATAGTAATGAAGTGCAAAAAATACAAACAACTTTTCTCATGAAACACAGTGATGCCATTTTAATGGACACTACTCCCATGAAGAAAAAGTTGATTAGTAATTAGACATTTACTACAAGGGCTCTCGTTTGAGATTTTCAAGAGAGAAAAGTAAACAAATTTTTTTTTTTCCCCCAAAAGTAAACCAACACCTGCCCCCCTCCAAGAAAAAAAAAAGAAAAAAAGAAATTTTCTACTGAGTGATTATATACTTGTAGAGACTTACTTGAGACAAAGCAGCATCCCGTTGCTCTATTACTGCATTCATTTCCTCAGCTATTATTTTCTTTTTACGTTCTTTGGTCCTGTGTATTCGGTTCAGAATTATAGCTCCATTCTTCAGTATATCTATCCCTGTGTCTGCATTGTTTATTCTGTTCAGTAATTCCTGTAATGTCTACCAACAGCATTATATGTTAGTCAGACATGAAGTTTTAATATATTTTATTTAATATAGGGTTTTAATTAATAGGCACATGTGAATTGTAAATTGACTGAGTGAAGTTATTGAATTTTCATATTGCAGCAAAGATGTACATTATTAGTGTGTCAATTCTTCTTTTTCCCACATCTTAGTTCTTGAAACCCACTCAATTGAACTTAAGCCTCTAAGATATAAGACTGACATCAAGAAATCTCCTCAGAGAATGGCTTACCATGTCATTTTCTTCAGGGTTAATATTTTCTAGCCTAGAAAAAAGGGACACAGAAAGCCTGATCAGTAGCATTTCCTTAGTGCAGCAAAATGAGTTCGCTTTTTAAATCTTTAGAACCTCAAGTAATTTCATTCTACTAGTCTTTAGAGTCAACCATGACACTGAACATATTAAAGTGCCACCTGCTCGACTCCATCTTTCAATAATGCTCCATATCTTCAGCACTGACTTCAGACTGTTAAGTTATTAATGTTTACTGCTATATATGACTACAAGGATCAATTGTTCATATGTGCTTAGATGAAAAAAGTTCCCCAGTGATAGAAATGACTGATGCTTTTATTTTATTTATTTCTGGGCTTACAACTTTTACATGCTGGGTTTTTTTTTTGTTGTTTTTACTGCACCCCAAATAAAACAGAACATGACTTTTGTTGATAGGGTTTTTTTTTTATTTTTAAATAACTCTTTTTCCACCTCTTTCTTCCAAAATGATGGAAAAATCCAAAACCAGTTGAAGTAACTTTAAAAACATTTTCATTTTATATCTTGCATAAAATAGGAAGCTAAGCCAATTCTCTGTAAGGCCCTTATTTAATTCTGGAACAAACCAGCCTGCACTTTCCTCCTTTTCTATTTCAACAGAACATATATTGACCTGTCAAACACAAAGATGATACGAGGAATTTAGTCATACAGCATTGAATACTGTCTGTGTAAAAGTAGTAAGTGATAGCACAAAAACCTAATAAATGGGATAGTACACATTTTATTTTACCTAAGGTTAGTTAAATGGACAGAGATCTCTCTTCTGGAAAAATGAGCATATTAAAGTTACCTTAGCACTCCACTACTACTTAATGGTGACTTCTACTAAAAGTAGCCTACAATATTTTAAGACAGATATAGTCCTATTAAACATCTTCTACACAGCAACACTTCAGCAGTGCTGTGACAGGTACTGCTCCAAAGCCATGATTTTAGCTAAAACACATTATAGAACATTTGACAGCACACTACCACATTTTCCATTAGTTTTTGCAGATAACAGTACACAAAGCATGGTAAAGCAATCAGTATAGAAATTTTTAAATTAAAAAGAAATATTTCAGAATATACTATCAGTGTATAACAGCTTTATATTTATATGGCATTCACAAGCAGTACCTACTCCAGCATATTCAGTCAGCACCAGAACTAAAGAAAATAAAGTAAAAGCTAACTTTTCTGGGTTTGACTTGTATTCATAAAGTAATATAAATAATAAAATAACAAACATAATCGTATTAATTATGATTATAATAAATTCTCAGAGCTGGATCCTTATTTTAGGTCCTGTTTTAAGATCCTGTTTAAGATCCTGCTTTAGGTTTTTACATTGTTCTAAGTACCACTTCATGTGGGACTTAAAAATGGATCTCCAGCTAGTTTGTATTCACAATGAAAAGAACAGTATTTGTCAAAGTAAATTGGCAGGACTGACCCAGCTTCTCCAGAGGACTTCTACATTGCTAAAAGTGTGGGTCAACAAAATCACCCAGCCAACCAACAGGCTGGGTAAGCAAGGTACCTTAGGGAGAAATGGGAGTGGAAAAAAGAACATGAACTTCTGCCATAAGCATACCTTCAGCATATTACTGCTACAACGGATCTGTATGTAGGTATATAAACACCTCCTTAGGTGACAATATTTTAAAAAAGTAGCAACCAGAGCTGTGTATTTGCCTTGTTCAGTCTCTCTGTGCTGTGCATAGACAATGAATGAAAACATCATGATTTTAAACAGCAGTAAGCAAGGATTCCTCTCCCACTTCTAAACACATTCTGATAACATAACCCCTAGGGCCAACAGGGCTGAAAGGATTTTAGTTGTTACAGTTAAATAATGACAATAGAACTGTTCCAGCTGCTAATTTAAAGAAAGAATTAAAGCATTTGATAAAGGCTGGCAGGCTGTTCAATACTGCACTCTTCTAAAGTTCTCTGATTGGAGTAAGCCCAAAGCACATGGGAAGAGTGACTTGCGCTCTAAAACTTGATGAGTGTGGCACAAGTAGACAATGTTCTTTATAAAAACTCCAAACCTCTATGTGCTCCACATCTGAGACAGGGAACTTGACCTTTTGAACAATCACCATAAGGAAGGAAGAAACTACCAAGAGCAGTAGTTAGAAAAGAAAGCTGATGCTCTCCACAGGGAAATCTCTTAAACCAGTTCTGAGACTGTGAACGGCATCAGGGTATCAGACCTCTCTATAAAGCATGGGAAAGAACACCCAAGTGGATGACAGCTAGTACAACTGCTGTTCTCTAAATGATAGCAATAAAATGTAATAGCTTGGCTTCAAACTATCAGTCAAGGGAGTTACTGACTCCCCTGGGAACAAGTACCACTTTGGCATTACCAGTGTTTCCAGTGCCTTCTGCAATGATGCGCTTTTGAGGAAGGTACTATGCATGTTTTCTGAGAAATGGAGTTTCTTATCTTTTCTCATACTTTTGCTTAGAACTAAGTCAGTTTTCAAGAACATGAGTGAAGCAGACAGAAGAGCTTGAAGGGAAAACAAGTGAAGGTGTTCTGAGGGATTCATGCGTGTCAAGAACTGCCACTCATGTGTCTGTGGATTCCACTGCAGAAAAAACAGCAATATGCCAGAAACCTAAGTCACTGACCAAGTTTGTTGACTGGAATAATGAATTTTCTGCATTACTTGAGTGCTTTAAGATCAAAGATCTTGAGTTTATGCTAACTAATTATATACAGGATCATGTGATGTTTGAAACCATACAAAACTTTCTTTACTCTTGGAACTTACAAGATTACTCTATTAACTTCTAAAATTTACAGAGTAATGGTAGACAAACTATGGGCAGGTTATTGAAATTAATTTAGGCAATATTCTCTGGCCTGAACTATAAAAATACCCAAAAGAAGATGACTGGTTTTCAGCCTGAAAGAGGAGTGATCTTAGTAGAATCAATTAATTAACGCAACATTGCCTGCCATTTAGTTAACTAACAACTGCACCTATTCAGTCTCCTGCCATGAAAAGCTTGTTTCTTTGTATTTCTCCTGGTAAAAAAGTAAGAGAAATTTTTCAGCCACTCTAGTCTTTGTGGGACTATCAAAGATGATCACCAAGATCATCACAAATCAGATGGGCAAGGATTGTGTGGAGAAGAAAACTGTAGCTTCAAAACTGCCTATATCCCAAGGGAAAAAGAAACCATTCTTGATAATTTTCTCCTGACTTAGTTCTATTTAACATAAGATTGCCTATTTCTGTTGTGTTAAGATGGCATACATAAAAATCTATGAACTATTAATTGTACCCTTATTACCTTACAAACTGCTCCTACACTAAAGACAGGGAAAGAAACCATATATTTTTACTGTGTCACCCATATAATTAGTAGAAATTTTGCTGAAGGAAATGTCTAGTGGGCTTAAAGGCTTGATTGATTTCCTATATGTTGCAACTTTTGACTGACATTCTGGTACTCTGTGTCAAAAGATCCCTATAAAATGTCACATTCATCTTATTTCTCCCTCAATAAATCAATACTGAAGCTTTTGATTATATTTTACATTTTTGTGATCAAAATTATTCACCTTCTCTCAGTCTCCAGGGAAAAATATGGCTTTATAAAAGAGCTAACAAATTAACCAATAACACAGTAAGACTAGCCCTGGTCTATTTTATTGCACGGATAATAATGTGCTAAGTTTTCCTATAACCACTGTTCAGCAGCTTATGACTGTCACAGAGTGACACAACAGCCCTTTTACATGGTGCAGGAAATGTATACTTACTCTTTGAGAGACTCTTCTAAACGCTGGACTCGCAGAAATGCTTCATCTCTCTCTTCATTGGCTAACCTAAGCCTTGCCATGACAGCCTCATCACGCTCCCGTTGAGCAGAATAAACTTCTCCCACCAGAGCTGCAAAAGTGTGTTCAACAAAGAAGTTTGACAGGGAAAAGCACTATTAGATGCACTTATGTTGGCCTTTGCCACCCCCTCATAAAATCAACACTCCTTCAATGACCTTGGATTATTCTGCATAAGGTCTATATTACTTCTTAGACACAACACTAACTTGCTGTTAATTGTTATAGTCAATACTTTAAGGTATTAAATAAAGCTATTTGTTTTCAAATTCACCCCTATAAAATCTAACAGGGAAAGAAAGTGATTTGCTGGGCGTTCTGAATACTTGCTTAATGGAAAAGTAATTCTTAAAGCTCAGAATCATACAAGACACTAGCAAGTTTCTTCTAGGACACAGAGTTAAAAGTAATCATACATTAAAACGACTGCCATCAGACTGCTTCCTATCAAGGTGGCACAGTGATATTAAAAATTCTAATATTTTTATAGTCTGTCTCTGGTATCACAAGAGTGGTACAGCTGGCATCTCTCCTTCTCTGCCAAGCCTTTACTTTATTGTGTAATATACTGTTATATTATCTGTTACAGCATACATGGACCTTGGAGCATTAGGTACCAATAAACTAAGATTTACTGTCTATCCTTAGGAGCAAACTAACACCTTCAAGTCATTCCTCATCCTGAGCTTACATTTTCCCCCTGCCTCTCCCCTGTCAATATGTCTAACACCATCTCTGGCACACTGCCAGAATCCTTACCTCGACCCTGCCTCCACTAAAATCTTTATTCATACTTTCATCATTTCCCTCTGCAATACTGCAAATCTCTCCTCACAGTCATCATAAAACCATGCATTCAAAATGTCTAGGGACTTTCAGGATGCTGTAAGACTGCTGTCACTCCAAGACAGAGGACTACATTCTCTCTCACTGGAACCTAAAAAAAACTCAGTTGAGATCTATAGGTTCCTGAATTCTCCATCCTCCTTCTCCCTTCTAGTCTGTCAAACTGGGATATAGCCATAGTCTCCTAACATAACACTGTAGTGTTTTTCAAATTTTGATGTTTATTCCTCAAGAACTTTCTCTATTAAGGCATTGCTGCTGGGCTTCCTTACTCCCTACAGAACTACCTGCTCCTGTCTCAACCACTGCTTAAGTCATTATGATCTCAAAGAAAGGTTTCCTCCCTCTTTACTTCCTCCCTTTTGCTAAAAGCCTAGAGCTTTTGTCCCTCCATTCTTACCTAAATTGAGATCAACTTTTTTGCCTTTATTTGTTATTTTACTCTTGCTTTACCTCTGTACACTATTGCACAAAAAAAAATCATAGTGAAATATATAATGAAACATTATACTGTTCTTTACAGAATGAAATAATAGAAACACAGAAGAACATTTTTGTAGCAACTATATTACTGGCACAAAATACATTTTATCAGTACCAAGAAAAAGGAATCTTCTTGTCCTCAAGCTGGGGAGAAGACTGTCACTGAGGAGTAAGGAAGCATTTTTTGCAGACCTAGCAAAATGTTACAGGCTAACAGCCCATTACACAAAATCAGACAGGGAAAGGCTAAATGTTACTTTTGAAAGTGCAGTCCTTCCCCTCACAAAAAGTCTGCAGAGGAGCCACAAGCCTAGTCATCAGGTCAGAGCTGTAGCAGCTGTGTCCCAACAACAACAGCAAAAAAAATTCAGCATCGGAAGCACAGAATTTGAAATGTATGCAAAAATTAACAAAAACTGATTATATTCTCTTGAATCCAGAAGAATAGTGTCTTTTTTCCTTGAAGATCTATTTCCCCTGTTTGCAACAAGAAAACTTTGCTTGATGTGGAAGGAAAAACTAAGGACTAAGGCAGCTGTAACACTGCATTTGCACTGGCTGGTATCCAGCAATAAGTTTGCAGCACCTGCAGAGAATGCATCTGATATCTACAAAGGTAGGTGGCTCAGCAAGGACAAGAAAAAACCATAGCAGGTAACCTAGGCTGTGCATTTCAGCTCAGCAGACTCCCACTTTGACTGCTGAGATCAGTGATGGCAGGGAAACTAGTGCCAGAGCAATGACTGCCTGGTAAACTACAATGCAACTGCTATGTCCTGACCGGATCTGGAATACACAGCAGTTTGATTCTGTATGGTAATTATTACCTATCAGTACCTAAATCTATTTGTTTGCTATGGTTTCTCCAGTAAATTATGTCACTTTATCTAGCATCATAACAGAGACACTTCACAGAGAACCCTCTCCATAAAGCTGCAAGTGGAAACACTAGGATATTTTCACCTTGAAAACAACTGCTGCAATGATCTGAAAGTTGTCTAAAATAACTGAAGATCTGGCACTTATTACTGTTCTGAGGTTAATTATTTTCCAGTTTAGCTAACTTCTTTCTGACCTGTTCAAGTGCACCCCTTCTGTCAGACCTTGGAACATCCTCACCTCAGCATGAAACCCCCAATTTCTTGACTCCTGCAATGGATCTTGAATGTACATGTACACACAGAGCGACTGTCTTTTGGCACATCGAAGTCCCTCTCTGCATAAATATGGCCAGTGATAATAATGACTACACAGGCTTTTAAAAAGCAGATTTTTGCTTCTTATTCATTAAACCAAAGTAGTGTACATGTAACAGTATGAAAGCATTCAGAAAAAGATGTTTTTCAAGTTATTTAAGAATCCTGATTATCTGAACTCTTGCCACCCTTGACTGCAGCTCAGATGCTAATTGCCTTTGAACAGTGAACCCTTCCCCCACCCAAAAGTCTATTACAAAACACTGTCTTTTAACTATCAGCTATGAAAAGTAACTTTAATTGAGCAACTCTTTCTTCTTGTTTTCTTATCCTTCCACTATAGTAAAGCATTGGTGTAAATATCCCACTGACTAGATCTAAAAACTGCAATAAAAAATATAAGTCATTCCATATCAATTACAAGTGTCTGGCTTTTGGTTCTGTTTCATAAAAGTAATATTGCAAGTCAATTTTTTAATACTAAAACAGATTAGGGAAAATGTAGAAAATCATGTAAGATGCTTGCACAGTAATCTAAGTTTAAAAAAGAAAAAGATACGTAGATACATGGCATTTTAATACAACATAGCTATGCTGACACTTCCAAAAGAAATTACTTATTTAAAAAATACTTAAAGACCTCATCTAACTCATTTTAATGGTCTACAGAAGACCAAGTCACCTGATCTCTTCACCAGCCAAAGCTGAATTTATGTTTGATGTTTTTGTTACCCAATGGCTATACATTTCTGACTCCTATTTAACATTTTATGAATTCCTTTTTTCCTTCTCTAGGGAATCTTATGAAAGTCACATGATTGCAGGTAATCTGAACATTCCCCAGTCACACTGAGCTATGGATGAGTCACAAGTAGAAGTTCAGGACCATAAGGACCACAGCGTGCTTGAAATAAGTGTAATGCATAAAAATTTAGGTCTCAATGCAGCAGCAAAGCAAAACATTTTGTGCCATATCTAGGAAAATGAGTGTTGTATAAGCTGTCCAGTTAGAGTCTATGAAAGAGTGACATGAAATTCCTTCATATTAGAAAGAGTAAAAATTATCCAGATTATCATCCTATGCTTCTTTGAAATGTGAGGGGAAAACTGATCGAGAGTAACACCAAGTCATGCTTCTACATTCCATTCAAGATATGACATACCCAGAAAAATACTAACTCCATACTGCCACACTGACTTGGTGTCTGATCCAAAGAAAAAACAGATCCAGCTACTTCTTCACCAACTGCTCTGGTCACCATTACAAGGTTTTCCTTGGAGAACTTCTAGTTGGCATAACAACCACACCTATCCTCCCTATCTTGAGGCCTGACCAAGAAGAAACAAAAATTTGTACAGAAATCATATTTCAAGTAAGGAAATGATACACAGAAATGAAGTATGAGTAGTCTAGTATTAAGCTAAAATGAATTGTGTCATTTACTAATTCATATATATCTGATGGCATTCAAGAGTTAAAATATTTAAATCTCAGAGAACTGAATTTAGAAAAAGGATTATTTTCCCATGCTTGCAAATATTGTAGTATATAGAAGTACAGCACTACTATTTAGCTGTATAAGCTTTGTTTTTTTGGGAATAATTTAATAACATCTTTCTCCTTGTAACTAAAATCCCTGCATACTCTAAAAGAGCTCTTTATTTTAAAAGAATCATTATGCTAAACTCATCAATTCTAAAACATTTTTAGTTTTTAGTAAAGAAAACAATTGTAAACAGAGAGCTTTTGTAAGGTAGATAGCTATTACAAAGTTCACTTAGAAAATCAATATAGCATTTTAGCTGGAATTTGCTCATTAAACACCCACAGCTCTAATGCAAATTATGATGGAATGAATAAAGCAAATACATATGCTTCTTTCTTTTTATTAAATGTAAAATCTACTGTTAATTGCATCTGGTATGTCATATAAACTTTTCTCCTTAACTATTAAATGGAAGCTTTTACAAAAGTCATTAGAGATTCTCTTTCTTTGACTTGTATAAATTTCAATATTTGTTCAGTAAAGGTTCACAGCAGTTAAATTACATTAACAAATATTATTAGCTACTATGTAAGCCAACTAAGTAAAATACTTATATTGCAGGTAAAACAAATCAATGGGTGTTTACAATAATATTTGGATATGTCCATTTTTAAACAAGCTTATCAAATATCATGTAATTCTTAGTCAAATGAGAGAGACTCAAAGTAGATTTTTTTATCCCAAATACTCAAATTTGTTTAGTAAGCTAATTGTTTTCTAATATGGGCAAAAGTAAATATGAAGAAGATGAACCATACCAAGTATGAGTTTACTGAGTCAAAGCAGTGTACATATTTTCTTAGTTGAACCTGATTCTTTTGGTAAACTTATCTCCTATACTTTTTAAACCACCTTTAAAACAGCAGTACTGAGAAGGTGTGCTGGAAATCATTCTAGTTTAAGCAGTGCTTCATGATTTTCCAAACATGGAACTTTGGGGGAGGCAAGGAAAGCACAACTCCCAGGATAAAAGTCTGTTT